TCCACATAATCCACCTGGTCTGCTGTTGTCGTTAGTTCCGCTTGGAGCTTGGAATTTTCCTCACTCAGCTGTAGAACTTGGGTCTTGAGTGTTCGGTTCTCTTTAGCTTCAACGTTCAACTTTGCTTTTCAGTCACTTATTTCATTTTGTGAGAATGCCAAGCTGGTTTATTTTATATATTGGTTCTGATGGTAATATTAATACAATTCAATTTTCGTATGACTTAAATGTTTTATCCTTAGAGCAGCCTTTGTAAACTCATTTCCTAACACTTATCCATTTTGTAAACATTATCTGGTGCCTCACTCTGGTGATGATGACAAAATTTTTAAAACTTAAACCACCAACGTTATCTAATATATATATATATATATATATATATATATATATATATATATATATATATATATATATATATATATATATATATATATATATATATATATATATATATATATATATATTTATTGTACATGCTACTGAACGATGAGTCGGCCACATATATTTTTATATCTTTGCGGTCTTTCTTGTGAATATCAATAGTGTCTTTAAGTACTAGAGAGAGTTTTCCTACATTAACACTCTTCCATGAAATATGTTGTTGCTCAACTTGATTATCACCACAGTAAATCATGCGTCTTACGATTGCTTTCTTTTAGTTTAACAAATTTATTGGCAGAGCTTGTAGTACAGTTTGCCTATTCTGAGTAATTCAGTCAGGTCTTGACACTGAGGGTGGTATCACTTCTCACTGTCACGCAGGACAGAGGTTCACACACAAAGAAATACATCATATTCATTAACAACTATAAATGTATAGAGGTCAGATTCAAATGGATAATGTCACTGTTCACTGCCATGCAGGACAGAGGTTCGTACACAAAGAGTTGCATCATATTCATTGACAGTACATATACATATATGTAAACACACACACACACACATATACATACATATACGTATATACATACACATATACATGTACACGTACATATACATGCACACACGCACACATACATACATATACGTCGGTCAGATTCATGTGGGTAATGTCACTTTTCACTGCCATACAGGACAGAGGTTCGTACACAAAGAATGCATCATATTCATTGACACTATATATAGGTCAGATTCATGTGGGTAATGCCACTGTTCACTGCCACGCAGGACAGAGGTTCGTACACAAAGAAGGAAATACATCACATTCACCAGCAGCATATATGGGTCAGTGGATCACATACATTGGAGTCATATTCTAATTGAAGACTAATCAGTGTGGGCTAGCAAATTTGGGATAAACAGCAAGAATGTCCTCAAGCACACCTGATTCAATGAAGTAATTACATAGTTCAAGATACAGTAAGTCAGGTGGCCTGAAGTCTTTGACAGTGTCACATTCAATAATATAGTGTTCAAGTGTATGCTTTAAAGGTTTATCACAAAGTTTACATGCTGAGTGTTCCGGTATGGGTACAGCGTTACTAACTTGCCAGATGTGTCTGTATCCTAGCCTAATTCTGGCCACGACTACATCACATTGTCTGGTTCTGTCCTTATGCTGGCCATACCGGTACCTCTTGTTACAAAATTTGTCATATTTACTAATGCTACAACTGTCCGGTCTCTCTGCATTTCTCACTTCTTCTAGATCAGAGTTCATGATTCTGACTTGAATGTTTTTAATTACGGCATTGGACAGACCAAGGTCGCGGTCAACATTTTCTTTCTTACATGCCTCATTGGCCAGTCTATCAGCACGGTCATGATACCTGATTCCAACATGGGACGGAATCCACACAAATTCGATACGAAAGTTGTTCTCATTGGCAGTTATCACATTCCTTTTAATATCACATGCAACTTTAGACATAGAACCTGACGGGCTGTTCATTGATTTCAAAGCACTTTGAGAGTCACAGAATATCACCCCACCTCCATTTTCTTTGAGGTAGTCTGTGGCTAAAGCGGGTTCAGGTACATTCAGGAGCCGGTGCATGCCCAGTATTTGCCAACAGTGCGTGATAGAGACGTGACCGATCGCCCGGGCGGCTAGCGAGCCGATCTTTTGGTGAAGAATATAAATGAAAAGAGACGTGACTGATCGCCCAAACGGCTAACAAGCTGATCAGTGGCGAAGAGGATAAAAGTAAAAAGAAAGACCCTGTTTTTCGACGAAAAAACACGGAGCTCCCACACACACGTCCCACCGCCTACACCGAACCGTCCTGTGATTATACCCATGGTTAGAGAATAAAATGTTTGAAAAATTGTCTGTGGTGGTAAAACTGTGTGTGTGTGTGTGTGTGTGTGTGTGTGTGTGTGTGAACGGCCAGCAAAGTGTCAGAGGGGTTCGGTTTTCTTCTCGCCTCCCATCAACGGGGGACCAAATTTGATGTTGAGGGTATGGTATGGGGTCAGTGATGAGGTGGCTGAGTTTATTCATGGTGGTACTTAAATGGATCTGACGGTAAGATATTTAGACAAGAATCGGGGTGAAATATTTTGTATGACACGGGGTACAATGAGGGTTAATTGTAGCTAAGTCATATTTCTCTATCATCACAGTATGTCTCAGTAAAGAACAGTACACCCGCGGATCACACCATAATCTAATAATTGAATTGCTTTGGCATATCAAAGCATCTTAATGCAAAACTAATTAGTAAAATCAGTGTAATATAACCCACCTCTCTGTCCGCTTCCCCTCCAACCCACTATAACTCGTCGGCTGGAAGCGAATCAGCGCCTGTGTGCAGGGTTACAACAGCGTCTCTATTTCGTGTGGTCGGAACTGTACCAATAGCATAGTAAAATCAGTGCTGGCTGACAGCTTTATATCCGTCATTTAGTGGTACCCCAGGGCAGATAGGTTGGAGACCCGACTGCGACGTTGTCGGGCGCTCGTCCGTGGGTTCTGGTCGAATGTGTTGTTTAACACATGGCCTGCAGCATCGCTCAAATTATACACTGTACTGTATTATTTCTCTTACATAACAACTTCTAAAAGTGTCATTGGAGTTACTTACATGTGAGATAGTCAATTAGCTTACACAGGCAGTGTAGAAATCGTTTTCTCTGCGATCACCCAGTGGAGTATTCATCAAGGCGGCTCTCTCATATCCCAACTGTTTGTGTGAGAGTGACGTTCCCCTTGTCTGTTTAACAGAGCTATCATACTCCATCTTACCCTCAACTCCTTACTTTACTTTACTTCAATTTATTCCCTTCGCCGATTGTCGTCTCCTTAGCCGTTTGGGCATGTACTGGCTCCAGAAAGTATCAGTACCTGCGCCAGTGTTGGTCAATTCTGGTCTTGAATGAGCTTACACTCGGTGCCGTCACAACGCTCTCTGGAGTATTTTTCCAAGAGCTCACAACTTTCACTCCAAAAAGTTTGCCCTGACAATTTTCTACACCCGTGGCTTCTTCAACCTTAAACTATGACCTCTAGTGAAGCAGGCATCCGCTAGCTCCAGGTAAGAACACTCTGCTGAGTAATGCCCTCGGAGGTGTTTATAGACTTCTATTAACTCTAACAAGTCACCCCTTGCCTACCTATAGTATAAGTTGGGCAACTGCAGTGGTTTCAATCTCTCTGGGTAACTGACATGCCGTAGTGAGGGTACCAGTGTGGTGGCCCTCCTTTGGACATTTAAATCAACTGACAGCTTGTAGCATATCTCGGGGACCAGACAGTACCCCATACGCTCCGTACCCATCCAGTTTAATTCTCAGCCTTTTATGGGGTACGTTGTCGAAAGCCTTGGCAGAGTCGAGATGTATATTATCAATATTGCCAACACGTCCTAGGATCTGAGTCGACACATGCATTACCTTAAGTAATTGCGTCAAGCAGGAGCGTCCCCGCATAAAACCACGTTGGCACTCCTTTACAACGTTGTTTCGTATTAGTTGTTCCATCATGTCATCCCTTACAAAGCTATCTTGTAATTTACACACTATGCTAGTCAAGCTCACCGGCCTAGGACTGACATATGCCATTTTCCAGTCGCTTGGAACCTTCTTCTCAGCCATGCATCTGCAGAACAGGATTTTCAGGGGCCCACCAAGCTCGTTGAACAACTCTCGCAATACACTGGGATGCACACTGTCAGGATCTGGCCTGTGTCAAACCTTCTCTCCTCAAAGGAAGGAAGATTGCTCGCATCCTCTCTTGAGAACATGGGGAAAAGAATTTATTAAACGCCTCCGCCTTATCCTGATCTGGGTCGGCGTAACTACCATCCTCAAGTCTCAGGTCCAAGACGCCCTCACTTGTCTTTAATTTTGAATTTGCGTATAGGTAGAATACCTTCGAATTGATTGAGCTGCACTTCGGGGGACCTTTAAATACGAGGCTCTTCCCTTCATTATAATTTTATACATTTTTATTCTGCATGAAAATTATCCCCCCCCCCTCCCCCCCGGCCACCCTGACTTGGCTAGCTCTAAGGTCCGGTCTATAGCATAAATAACCACACCTCTCTTACAGGTAGCCCGAGGAAGGATGGTAAATGAATCATAGCCGTCGATCCTCCTGTTTCTATAAAACAGTTCCACATTACCTACTACTGTGTATCGGGTTGAGGGATCTCGAGTAAGGTTTCTATCCCCGCCTACTTATCGAGGAAAGTATCAGTTTTTGTGTCACGTGCTCGTCCGTGGTCGAATGTGTTGTTTCATAGACGCAAGCATGATCTAGAATATCGTTCACATTAGACACTGTACAATATCATTTCTCTTACCTTACACCTGTTACTAACGCCTATATATTATTTTTTTTTATTTCCCTCTAGTACATGTTTTATCTGGTAATTAGCAATTGAATAATGCCCTTTAAAATTGTTCACACTAAAATTCATCATAAGAAACTTCATACATTCTGTATATAAATAGTGTGTGTATGCTAAACATCCATCAGCACTAATGATGATAGGAGAGGTAGTTGTGGAAACATTAAGTCAGAGTAGAGTTTAATTATTCTTGCATTTCAATTTTAGAACATCTAGTGCTGCTACAAACAGCTAGTACAGTACTGCCACAAGCCACTAGTGTTGCTGCATAAACCTTGTACATATTGTACGCAGCCTTACTCTGGAGCCGTCAAGAGGGAAGAACGTAAATAAAAATTGATAAGAAGATAGACGTCATCAGTGGGCATACTCGTAAGGAGGATGGGCGGTGAGGTCAGTGTGCTGCCAGAAGTAATCCACGATGATGCAGACTCTCGAGGTAAGACTTGACTCCAGGGCTTTAGACTTACAGAGGTTTGTGTGCTTAATATTTATTGGAACTGTTTATTTGATAATGCACCTAACTACTTTATCAACATACCATTAAACTTACATAGTGACCTTACCTTAACTTTTTATGTTCACTTATCGCCTTTAAGGGAATCTTTGGGTAAAGAATTTCAGCCTTAACTTTCTCTCTTAATTGATGGTTATCAAGTTGACGTAGTGTCTCAGCATAGTTAATATTTGGAAATGATAATCATGCTTTAGCGTAAGGTAAGGGGGGGAAGGGGCAGCTCGGGGCAGTCTCACATCTCTAGTAACGAGGAAAACATTCATTTTACGAACCTTTTATCATTTGGCCAGTTATTAATTCAACTTTAACCATAGAGACAAAATATATGAAAGATAGGTAAATGGTTACATGGATAGAAGTAGATAATGGACCGGATAGAAGTGGGGATGGGTAGGGTGAGATAGTGAAAAGTGAAAGTAGGAACGTTGTGGATACTGTAGTGGATACTTCCCCTACAGTAGGAACGTTGTGGATACAGCACATTGTAACTAAGCCTTCGTTATGCAAGGAGATAAAAAAGGCAACTAAATACGGATAGAAAAACGGACTGAATACAAGATAACTGTTGCGAGACAAAGACATAGAGAGATATATATAAACAAAACGCATTGATAGATAGATATAGTTATTGGTGTATTGGTAGCACATGTTTCATTATATCCTGGGTTCGGGTCCTGGCTCGGATACACGTGAAAAGGGTATTGTCCAGTATGACCCTATCAAAGATCACAGGTTTCCTCTTGCACTAACACTGGACAATAAAAGCCCTAACAAAACAACAAAGAACAAACCAACCGCCCAAACAGCTAAATAACCCGATAAATGGTGAAAAATAAATAAAAATAAAAATTAAGCTGAATATACAGCGGATGGTAGAGAGGGAAAGTGTTCAAAGCTATACAGTAAAGTAGATTAAGAATAAATATAGAAACTAATGAAAACTAGTAAACATCCATAAATTACAGACTAAAAAAATAAATAAGTAAATAACGTAAATAAAATTATTACTTGTGAGGTTAAGTTATAACTCGCCTTCTACTGTTGTCAACCGTTCGAAGTACAAGCACCAGTTACTGTATGTATACTGTACAGTATGTGAGGAAAATTATCTACGTATTCTAAGATGTTGTTTTGGTGTCACCTTTCAGAAATACACACTTGTAGAGTGTGTGCAAACACTTACAACCACGGCGACAATGCTCCGGTGAGTCTCCCCTGTGGCCACACGTTCTGCAAGTCATGTGTTATGAGGATAATGACCCAGAATGGGGTGTGCTGCCTCTTAGCCACCTGCAGGAAGCAACACAAGGTCACCTCCATCGATAGCTTTCCAGTCATATATGCCCTCATACCACAGTCGACCTCCTCCTCCAACACTGCCTCTGAAAACAACTCTACATCAAGGGTTAGTGAAACACCTGTCTGTTAGACTACTACTATTACTCCTCCTCCTCCTCTTAAGCTTCTCCTTCCTCCTCCTCTATCCACATTTGTCCTCCAGAGAAGTACGCGGGATCACCTCCACCACACAGTTATGTAAGACTTCGCAGGGAAAATAATGTGGTTGTGGCTTTAGAATTTAGAGCCTTCAGGTGCGGTACTGGTGTGGGGTTCACTCAGAAGATAGTTGCTGGCAAATATTTTACTCAACCTTACCTGACGCATGACAATAAATTGTCGTGCCGGCACTGATGTCATTGGCAGTTATATATACGGTATCAGCTACATGTTGACCGTAAGCATGCTGTCATGTGATATCGGCTTGCTGCGTCGGTCTCCGTGATGGTCTGGCTACACTGGCTCCCTGATGGTGGTTGGGCCTTAGGTTGCTGCCCACTGGAGAAGATCGCCTTGTGCCCCTCCGAGGCTCCCAGGTCTACTGAGATATATGTCAGATCAACTTGCAGTGTCAAGTTCTAAACGAGTCAACAATCAATCACTGTTTTAGTTGAGCCTCTACAGGGCTGACTTTGTCCTTGTTTTCAGCATTCAGAGTTTCTACGTAGTGTTATTGTTAAAGGGACAAGTTTGGGCATCTTTACTATTGTTCCTTATTTTTACGCTGGATAACACGGATGGCTTAATGATAGAAAAAAATGCTTTGTGAACAGCTTTAACATAGTGCCTTATTTCTGTGATTGGATATAAAGGATGATTCACATCATGGATGCTGCCTTTGTTTAATGGAAATTGTTAATCAGAAGACTCTAGGATTAGGTCAGTCAGTTCTAGGAAACCTGCAGCATTGGGCAATTTTAGCATTGAACAGTGAAAGTATTGATTCTAATTATGTTGTCTGCAAGTTGTGCCATTATGTTGTGCCAGACAGGCACAAGAGCAATGACTAAGCACAAGTGCAATATCACCTTTGGCCAGACCATCATCACCCCTGTAGTCAAGACCATGGAGACAAAGAGTGCAGGTGTGTCTCAGATTAAGAGGACGGTCATGACATCTGTATGGGTCTATGACTTTTCTCCAGTTTGTGTGTTGAGGATAAGCAGAACTGGGCATGAAAAGCACATGTAAACATTCTACTGAATAATAATGTGTTATTCTGTATGCAGAGAGGTAAGTAAGACCATGAATATGGCGTTATGCAGTCAAACGTCCCTTCAAAGATCTACAATATCAAGAGGTATTTGAAATCAAAGAGGTCCTTTCTGCTTCCCCTTCTATTTGTTCAAAGAAAATGGGTAGTTCTAGAATCATATTTCATGGAAGTATTACTGCATGATACTTCAGCAAGTTTTTACTGAATGTATAATGCTTTATTATTTGATGTTGAGAAATCTATTCAGGACTTGCCCATTGTCTTAGTGGACAAAATCGGTCAAAAATGTTTTACATTTAATCAAGTGAAAGTTGTCTTGTGAAGTATAAGAGACTTATATAACGTATACATAAAAATATGCACCAGAATATTACACAATATATGTTACTCGGCGTGGGTGCGGTGCGGTTGCAGGCTGCGGTTTTAACCTTGCAGGTGCAGATCTAATCTATAGAACCATAAAGGCTCTGCTTTCCTCCTCTCCACCCCCTTCCTCTATTAACAAGCTTCAAGTCAGATAGGAGTGACTTAAG